CCCAAAGGACTGCAGCGCAGTGCTAACAGTGATGATGTCAGCTGATGTTTTCTTTTGTTTATAAAAATGGCTCCACGTGCTGTTTCCAGGTCGTCTCTGCTGAACCACATGGCCAGAGAGCATTCCTTCAGCATCGGACTGCCGGACAACATCGTCTACTGCAGCGAGTTCCTCGACACGCTGCAGGACAAACTGGACAGGTACGCTAATCGTTGCTTTTTACTCACAGCGTTAAGTTTTGTTTCGCGCGCCTTTTCATTTTGCTCCCCTCGCTTCAGTCTGCAGTGTCTGTACTGCGAGAAAACGTTTCGAGATAAAACCACGCTAAAGGATCACATGAGGAAAAAAGCTCACCGCCGCATCAACGCCAAAAACCACGAGTACGACCGCTTCTACGTCATCAACTACCTGGTAAAGCCCAGCGACGCGCTCGCCACACGCTTCCACGTCAGGATAAACGAAGCAGTTCTGTAGAAGCAAACGCAAACCTGAATGTATTGTTCTGATTTTAAAGCGTCCTTCCTGTCCTGTCAGGAACTGGGAAAAACGTGGGAGGAGGTGCAAAGCGAAGATGACCGTGAGCTGGCGGATGATGAGGATGAGTAAGTATCCTCGTGTAGCTCTGTGAGGACGGCATTAACTAAAGTGTCCTGATTCGTATCATACAGACTGCTCTGTGTCGTGTTAAAGGCAAAAACCGGGCCGGGCTGCACGTGCGTGTAATACCAGTTTCTACCACCAGATGGTGCAGTTAGTGCATGGATGCAAAAGTTTAAATCAAGTCCATTTCCTCCTCCTCCTCTGATCCTGTGTGAACGTCTGCTCGTGTCATCTCCGTATCGTCCGCAGTGATTGGTCGGACTGGCAGGCTCATCCGGTCTCTGCAGTGTGTCTGTTCTGTGATCACCAATCGGAGACGTTGGAGCAGATCTACGCGCATATGAAGGTACGGGAACGTAGAAGTTTCAGAGAAGGAAAATATCGTTTTCTGCTTTTCTTCCCTGAAACGATTCTGCAAAGGATTCTGGGAGAACGGAGACGGTGCACGCCAACAGGAAACGATCTGCTTCCTGAGGTCTCTGCAAACATGTGAATCCATCGTTAGCACAAAACATGGATTTTACTCAAAAAGTGCCCTCACACACAGATGGACCGAAGCTGAAGAGCTTTTAAAATGAAGCGCCTTTTATTTTGAAAAGTTTCCAAATAAATACATGATTAAAAATAAAAATGTTTCCTCGTCGTTGGGTCTGTGTTTCCACATGCCC